CCATGCATCATTTTATAAGATAGGGAAAAAGAGGCACAGAAACATGATTTGTGAACTTACAGCAAAATCGTGGGAAAGGCTGGCTGTTGCCTCTCAGTTTCTCTTTTTTACTAGCATTGAAACTGGCCAAACTAGATGTGAGCATAAATAAACTCTAGAGTCTTAGTTCTGGCTGGAGTAACAAAATACCATCTGGTAGGGAGCTTTAGAAGAGTTGTTTCTCACAGTTCTGGAAGCTGAAGTCTGCAAGCAGGAAGCCAGCAGGCTGGCTGTGGGTGAAGCCTCTTCTTTTTTTCTTTTTTTGGTCCAGTTGTGGGGCCTGAACTCTGGGCCTGGGCGCTGTCCCTCAGCTCTTCAGCTCAAGGCTAGCGCTCTACCATTTGAGCTACAGCGCCACTTCTGGCTTTTTTCTTTTAGCTTATGTGGTGCTGAGGAATCGAACCCAGGGCCTCAGGCATGCAAGGCAAGCGTTCTACCACTGAGCCACCTTCCCAGCCCGGGTGAAGCCTCTTCTCATGGTGTCTTCTGAGCAGAACAAGAGCCTGAGCTCTCTGGGGTCCCTTTTATAAGAGCACTAATCTCCTTCTTGAGGGCCCCACCCTCATGACCTTATCAGTTCCTAAAGGCTCCACCTTTTAAGTGTTGGTGGGGAGAGGAGGGGTACTCCAGGAGGAAACATTGTCATTCAGTCTACAACACCTGGTGCGAGGAAGTAAGGAAGTCCAAACACCACAGCTCCTCCCCTGAGCAGTGAGCAGAGGAAAGAAGGAGCAGGGAGACAGGGATGCAGGAAAGGGAGTTGAGGAAGAGTTGCTAGGGTACCAGTCCCAGCCTCCTTACTTGCCATCTCCTCCCTGCAAAACATTCCTGTGAGTGAACACTCATTAAATGGCCTTGCCGCTACGTACAACACACATATACTGGGATCGCTGACACTGGACATGGACATCATGACAGAACATAGAACTACCCTGTGACCCAGCAATTGCACTCCTGGGCATCTAATAGAACACAAACAAGGTTTGTGTTTAAAGTAAAGCCACCAACACAAACCATGTTCATTACAGCACTATTCACCATAACCAAGATATGGAATCAGCCCAGATGCCCTTCAATGGATAAATGGATCAAGAAAATGTGGTATATGTATACACAATGGAATTTTACTCACCCATTAGGAAAAATTATATTATTCTATTCATAAAGAAATGGAAAGACTTGGGAAAAATATATTAAGTGAAGTAAACCAGACCCAAAGAAACAAAAGTTGCATGGTTTCCCTCATTTGTGGTACCTAGAATGTGCCTATAAATGTACAAGTAAACACACTCGGGTAGTATGGAAGTGGTTCCAAATTAAAAGACTGAAGACTCTATGGAGAGCACAAATAACAACATATTTTAGAAAGACTAAGTCAAAGCCCATCAAAAAAAGAAAAAGAAAGAAAGAAAAGAAAAAAAGAAAGCCCAGGAAATGGGTACCTGCAAGAGGGTGGGTGGGGCCAAGGAGAGAGGGGTAGATGAATGGAAGGGGGAAGTGGAGGTGGGGGTATTCAGTGGAGAATTCATTATATATACCAATGGAAGGGAAAGGATGGGTCAAAGGTAGGTGAGACTGTTGAAGCAGGTGACACTAATCAAGATGCATTGTATTCACAAACTGCTTTGTTAAATGGCATCTCTGAGCACCCGTGGCTCACACCTAGAATCCTAGCTACTCAAGAGGCTGAGATCTGAGGATCACCTTTTGAAGCCAGCTTGGGCAGGAAAGTCTGTGAGGCTCTTATCTCCAATAAACTACTCAGAATAAGTTGGAAGTCTTGCTGTGGCTCTACCACTTGAGCACAAAGAGGCTCAGGGACAGTGCCCAGGCCCTGAGTTCAAGCCCCAGGACCAGAAAAAAAATTTTTTTAAAAATGACATCTCTTTTGTACAAATATTTAAACATAATAAAAAATGTAAAGAAGTATAGAGGTGTGTGAGGGAAGAAGAGTCACTCATATCAGCCTTGAAGACAGCAGAGTAAATATCACACATGACTTTGGCTTGCCAGCACAAGAACAAAAGTGGAAACAATACCTTCCATTGTCCCTATTAAAAGAGGGAGCAGACAGACAACAGAGTCATAGATTGCTTGATACTAATTCCCAAGTCACTCCCAGCCTTATATACTGAACACAAATCCTGCTTTAGCTGGTGTGTTCTGGGGTCCCCCTCCCCCGAGCCCGGCCCTGGTGGAGTCCTGGGGTAAGCACAACTGAGCTTAATCATGGCAAGGACCAAGCAGGGATGCACACGGTGACAACTATTTCTTTCTTTGCCTCACAGTTCACACCACAAATTGGAAGAGTAAAAATGTATAGCAATTTATCAACCCATTACACCCTGTTAAATATGCAGGATGCAACACAAAATTCTTCTACCTTATGTCACAGGAGAAAGAAGACTTCATGGCCTCTTGTTCTCGGTGTATGTCTTTTCTCCTTGTGCTTCGGAGTCATGATTTCCTTGAGATCACAAGCAATCAACTGGAGAAAATCCTTCTTAGAAAATAAAATCTTGGGGGCTGGGAAGGTGGCTCAGTGGTAGAGCGCTTGCCTTGCATGCATGAGGCCCTGGGTTCGATTCCTCAGCACCACATAAGCAGAAAAAAACCAGAAGTGGCGCTGTGGCTCAACTGGTAGAGCACTAGCCTTGAGCTGAAGAGCTGAGGGACAGCGCCTAGGCCCAGAGTTCAGGCCCCACGACCGCCCTCCCATAAAAAAGATAATAAAATCTTGCTGGGCACCAGCAGTTCATGCCTATAATCCCAGCTACTCAGGAGACTGAGATCTGAGAATCACAGTTCAGAGGCAGCCCAGGAAGACAAGTCTGAGAGACTCTTATTTCCAATTACCCAGCAAAAAGCAGGAAGTAGATGTGGTACAAGCAGCAGAGAGCATTAGCCTTCTGGGGGAAAAAAAAGCCAAGTGGGAGCTCCAGTCTCTGAGCTGAAGCCCCTATACGCTCTCCCTCCCTTCCTCCCCCTCCCCTCTCCTCTCACCCTCCCTTCCTCCCTATCTCTCTCTCTTTCTCTCATACACATACATAATAAAATCTTTAAATAATATTTTAAAAATACAATAAACCATTAAAACTCTCAAATTCTGACAAATAAATCTTTCTTTGTTGCTTTGGTTTTGTGAACTGCAAAGTAAATCAGGTCCAGCTGTTGCTGGGCTGACCTCTTCCTCAGCTTGCTTTCATTGTGGGATGCTCTGGTTGGAAATTTAAAGAACCTGTTGCAGAATTTACAGCACTCAGAACCAAATCAAATAGCAGAGCCCCTGGTTCAAAATGTGGAGCAATTTCAAGATGACAATAGTAAAATGAATCCCAGAGCAGGGTCCAAAAGCCTAGGGCCTGGTTCAATGGCCCAGGTCACATACCCATGATAAATCCAGCCATTCAACAAATGGTGATTCCTGTCATTTGTGGTATTCAACTCAATAGATTCATGGAGCTATTTCCTTGTGCTTACTCAGCCTTTTCTGTACAGGAGCAGAAGTAAAAGTAAGTAATGATCTCAGTTTCAGTGTGATCTGCCAGTATCTCTAAATGAAGATTCAATTAATTATGCATTGGCCAAAACAAGTTTGTAGAAGACAAAAGTCTAAATGCACTTTGGACCCCAATAATCACTGGGTGTCCTCAGGAAGGAAGACAAGGCCTCTAGAGGGCCTTCCAGTTCTAAAGCTGTGGTGGTGCACATGAGCTTAGCAAGGGAAACGTTTTAAGACAAACTAAACACACGTCTCATTCCCTCCAGCCTGGCGAGAGTCAGACATCTCCTAGAACAGCGAGCGTGTGAGTGCAGGCATGCACCTATCAGCGACCAACGTGTCCCTGAGGCTTAGTGTAGCAGGACGCAGCCAGACCACCAGACCCTTGATGCCGGCAAAGGGCTGACGCCTGGCAGAGTCTTCCTCAGGTCTCCAGACTGCACACAGAAATAGCCCACAGCCCGAGGCACAAGCTCCATGCTGGCCCACGTGTGCTGCTGCATAGCAGGAGATTGTGCGCCAAGTTTCTTCCGTTAATCTGCACAGAAATTCCAGAGGGGAGGCAATATTTTAAAGTGGCAAACGTCATTTGCAAGAAGTTAAAGCAAAAAGAAAATCCTCCAAGCCAGGCGCTGGTGGCTCACACCTGTCATCCTCGCTACTCAGGAGACTGAGAGCCGAAGACTGTAGTTCAAAGCCAGCAGGCACAGGAAAAGTCCAGAAGACTCTTATCTCCAATGGATCAGCAAAAAGCCCCAAGTGGAGATGGGCCCCAAGTGGTAGAGTGCTCGCCTTGAGCGGAGAAAGCTCGGGGCAGCGCCCAGGCCCCGAGTTCAAGCCCCACGACCCCTTCCCACCATGAACCATGGTTCCCACCATGAACCACGGCGGAGCCGCGTGACAGCCGCTGGCAGGCTGGGCTCGGGTCCTCCCCGCTGTGAAGGTGCCCGGCGCGGAGGAGGAGGAGGAGGAGGAGGAGGTGGCACCGGGCAGCTCGCCCGGGCTCCGGGCAGAGAGGGAGAGGGAGGAAGCGCGGGCCGCGGGAGCGGGATGG